TGTGAGTTGGACACACACGGGTCACTGTACCAATTGTTGGACTATGCTTGATTTTGTCAGGTTTGGTACTGTTCAGTTCAAGTCATCCTATACTGCATAGACCCATCCATACCATATCACTTAAACTCCAACAGGCTCATTCTGTTGGAGTTTATCATGTTTGGTACAGTAACCTGCATGTACAAGTACATAGACAAGTACATGAACCTGTTGGATTTTATGAAGTTCAGTATGCTTTCTAGTGCAGGAGCCTAGGGGGTTAGGGTTAACAGAAATTATCTGCGCGACAGCATTAAGGGCATTATTTGCTCAGCTCCACTTTCTGAAGTTGCGACTTACCTTTTGCCAGATGTCCTCAAAGGTTTCCACTCCTTCCGTCACCTTCTTCAAGCACCTTTCTATTTCACCTGCAATGCACACAACGAAAAACCACGGTCATAAATAGCAAACCACTTTGCCGTTCCAAACTGGCATGAGACTGGCCATTTCCGACACTCTTCACACTTCCGACACTCACTGCCTACTGCCACTAAGAACTTGGCTGTCACATCCCTGGTTATTTTTTAAACTTAACATACATGTAAAGACCCATTGAAATGTAAAGTTTCACTTCAATATGACACTGGGCTTTATTAATTCAATGCTTCGCATGTGTCATCTTACATGCATCGAGCATGTTTATGGAAAGAGTATGGATTTTTTGCTGACTTGTCACATGTCAGATTTTCAAAAACTTGTCAGGATGAAAGCAAGATGTTAAGTACTGTAAAAACTCTTGAAGGCTTAAATAGCACATGAATTATATGAACTGCAAAAATATTAGAGAAAATGTTGGGGTGAGATTCTCCCCCTCCCCTTAGGTTCTTTTAGGAGTTAAACATTTTCCACTGAAAATATGCCACTTTCGAATCCACCATCATTTACACAAAATGACTTTCACTAACGATTTGATAGATCAGAAAACGACCGATCATTTCACTCCTCACACATTCCCCAGGGTGCTCGGTTAATTTCCTCACAGGAATGGGACCCATCACAGGCCCATCTGACCACTGGCCAATGTTAGCCACGTGCTCCACATTCATCATTCTCAGGCGGATGTGCATGGAGACAAGTCACACATGACTTGAGTCCCAGACACATTCAAGACTCCTACACATCCGAGGCTTGGCCAATGGGCCGCGACTGCAGAGGGAGCACCTATCACAACGCATCACTCTGGAGAATTACACCCTGTTTTTGTATGTTTAAAGCCAATCTGTTTGGTTAACATTCACAGTAATAAAACTCCAGTGAATAATTAACCCTAGGGTGTATATAAAAATCATACTGAAATTGGAAAACTCAGGAATGTTAAGGCTAGAGCACATATGATGTAATCAAAGCAGGATGGTTAACACTCTACCCCCCACATTACTACATGCATTCCCCTGACATCCGTAACAGTTGTCTGTGTTGGACATACAAAGACCTTGGAAAGGATTCATCATGTCCCATTCACGCTGCTTCATGCAAGGACCCTATCTACTGCTGATGCTGATATCCCAACAGCCACAATACAAGAAACGGGAAAACAAAAGGTAGCTGGTCTATGTTGAAAGTAACAATATTTGCACAGAAGCTCTTTTGTTGGTTTTAACCAGCCTAAGAACTAGAGGGATAACTTCCTCTGTTGATTAACTCTTGTGTTTCCATTTGGAACAGGCTTAGACAAGAAACCTTCCCCACATGCACGATTAGAGGAATTCAACAGAAGCCACCAAGTAAGAACAAGGAACAGTGAGCAATCATTATTTATAGCCTTCGTTACACTTCCATATTGTCTAGCCAAATACTCTTTGTCACCTTAACCCTAACCTTCCCTAACCACACAGAACTGAACACCAGTAAAGTGTGCGAATTTGTGGCACTAGGTACTATACCCCTAAACTGCTTGTGCTTTTAACATGGGTTCAGGCATACCCAAAATAAACAGAGTCCAACCGTTTTTGTGCACAGTTTACCATATGGTGATGGAATTTGTGTGAATGGGTATGGTTCCTAGTTAATCACTCTGGGGAGTTAGGGTTAAGGTAACAAGCCAGTCAACAAGCCCCAACTGGCATGCTGTCAAATTCTCTGTTGTTAGGGCATTTTAGGGCACACGGACTGGATGATTTTGTAAAAAGGAACAACTGAAGCTAGCCAAAGGAGTGCTAGTTTGTATCTGAAAATATTGATCACAGCAAAGCCCTCCAAATTGTTGTATTTTGCAATGAAGTACAGGCATCAATTTTCATGATGGCAACGGGTGTCACAACTGTTTTTAGGGGTGATCAGTATCTGGAGAAAAATATCTTCAAGTCATTGGTTAAGCCACTAAAAATTCAAAAGGAAATGAAAACCGAATAAATGAGCATACCAGAGAAACTTTTGAGTATTCCTGATTTTTTGAAGTGGGATATTTATCACTGTTACCGACAGCAGTTTACTTACTTACCCTCCAGAGTATTTGGGCTAGAAACCCTACCAGACACATCAGTAGAGCCAATGATTTTCTGCGATCGCGTAAAATGGACGGAATTTGCAGAATCAACACTTTGAAATGGAATCCACTGCTTTGAACGGAACTTGCAAAGTTTTCCACTAAGAATGGCTTAGAAAGTAAGAAAACTTTCTGCAAAGTACTACAAATAAATGCCTACCAGTACCAAATAATTTTAAAATGCTTGCTTTTAATGAATGAATTATGCTGGAAACATGCTAAATTGCACCACTCTACCACATGATTGGGTCGTCCGCGCCGGTACCAATATTTGCAAGCGCTATGGTGTGCGCGAGATGTGCAGCGGCAGCCAGCACAGCGCAGCGGTGCAGTAAGGCACATGTACACACATTGGCCATTCACATGTGCACTGTACTAGCAATGAAATCAAGGTGCAAATGGAAGTGTTCGATGAAGAGTGTAGTTTTCAGTCACAAACATACATTTTAAGGCTCCGATTTAAAGTCAACTTTCTGAATTTTGTCGCACTAATGCCAAATCAAAATGGCGGGTCGATATCCAACATTAACATATTGTGATCGACTGTTACATGCAAGACCTACTCTGTGACTTCATTGTACATGCATGCGTATGAAAATCTGATTCTATCCAGGAGGACAGGTACATAAATTGTCCGTTGATTAATCGTAGCACGTTTTTGACGATAGTGTCCCGGTGGGAAATCAAGGGGTGGGGGATGCCGTATTTATTGTGTGGATTTTAAAAAAATTTTCACTACAGAAATTATAAAAAAAATTGGAAACATTGCAGAGTATTTCCAAACAACATTTGTTGTCAGTTTTCTTTCTCCTTTTTTTAAGAGGGGGGTGAGTATGGTTGGGCAAATGGTTTCTGTGCAGTTTAATACCTACTCTCCTATTTCATGCTTACCAAGGTATGAAACGGAATTTGAATTTCTGAAGTGGAATTCGGGATTTGGCGAAACAGAAAATACCCATTTTTGAAACGGAAAATCAGTGGCACTACATCAGTGCAGTCTGCATCCCTTGTCAAAGTGGCTTGCCAGCCGAATGTAACAAGATCCAACAGGTTGAAACTCTCCAAGGCCAAACAGCCTCAGAGTCTGTGGTTGCCAGCTACTACAAAAAAGTACAAGATCTAGCACTAAGCAGGAGTACTGTTCAACGAGAACAGTTCCCACTGTCTCAACATGGGCTGTGTGGTGGGGGTTTTTTTTGGGGGGGGGCTAGTGATTGCCCAGTGTATCACACTTACACCTGCTGCACTATGTTGCGTCTGGCAGGGTTGGGGTTAAAGATCTATCAAATTTCAAGCAAGTTTTAAAGGATATTTTGTAGGAATTGGAAAAGAACATGTATAGTCTGGCATCTACGTTATAGGGCTCAGTGTCTTGCTGGGCTCGAAATTAACGAGCGCAGGTAGCTAAAATGCACCCGTTTGTCTCAGAAATGCACCTGTAAATCATAATGATGGGTGCAAGTACTTATGTTCCATGTACCTGAACAAATTTACAGTTTGCTCTACTTCTGTCATGAAAAATACTTGACCTTTTTGACCTTTTCGGATCAGCCTTGTCACGGAACCGTAATGCAGTTTGTTTACAATGTCACTGAGTGCACTCCGCAGTCTCGCATGCGATGCATGCACACACAGCATGAACGTACACACACACATACCCGTGGCCATTGTCACGATTGTATGGAAACTGGCCCCTCATGCGTACATTCAAACCAAATGCGTGAATTTGGCTTAGACTTCAGTTTCACTGGTTCCAGTCATAGCTTGAACATGTGGTTTTGAGCCATGCTCCAAAATAGCTGGAACCAGAGAAACAAAAGTCTCAGCCTAATCCACGCATTTCAAAAAAGCTTGATTGCAGTTAATTCCCTTTTAGGTCTGTGTGCATATGCACGTTATAAAGGCCCAGTGCCCGACTTTTAGGTTCCAGTTGGTCGCACACTCACTATTAGTTGCACGTCGCGTGCAACCCGCAAAAATAACAACTCGATCAAGGCTTCAATATCTGTCAAAGTCTAAGCTGTCAGTTGTTAGAGTAATTAATTTAAACAAAAGCAACAGCAAGGACCAGGGTCTTTGATTTTTTTTTCTTGAACATACACTATGTCTTTAACTCTAACCTGCCAGAATCATCCAAAATCCTTTCCTGAAAAGGAAAGGAATTCGCAGGATTCTGGTTACTTGGCAGTTGAACCATTGGAGGATTTTGCAGGAATTTGGATACATGGAGTTTGACTCTTGGAGGAATATGGAGGAATCTGGCTCTCGGGCTCAGCGTACCACATGAGGATTTTGGAGGAAGTTGGGTGTCAGGCCCAAGGTACATGTACCACATGAGGATTCTGGATGAATTTGGTAACTGGGATTTTGATTTTGGTAGTTTTTGGTACAGACTAGATTTTGGTACACTTATTGTACTTGTACTTCCTGGGGACTCTGAAAACTTTTTTTGTGTGTGGTAAACCACTTACATGTACAATGTGTGTATGCCCCTGATATTCACCAGGGCTGTGTAACTCCTCAATCAAGCAGGGCATATGGTGACCTGAAACCACCTCTTTATCTGTGGTGTTCACAGTGATTTTTTTTTGAGTGGCCCTGTGCAAGCCAAAACATGAGCTATGTGATAAGGGCAAGTGACCCACTGGTGTCAGAATGTCACAGCTGCTGAATGTCAGCCATGGTCAGCCGGGGAACTTTCCACAGTGGTGCACTCAATGAGTTTTGTTTATTCACAGTGGTGCACTCAATGAGTTTTGTTTATTCACAGTGGTGCGCTCAATGAGTTTTGTTTATTCACAGTGGTGCGCTCAATGAGTTTTGTTTATTCATAGTGGTGCGCTCAATGAGTTTTGTTTATTCATAGTGGTGCACTCAATGAGTTTTGTTTATTCATAGTGCCAGTAAAGGTGTAAGGGTACATTTCAGAATTTCTGTTGTTTTCTAAATCCATACCCATTTCTGAGAAGGTATAACAATAAACATTCTTGCCCTTTTCATGATTTGGCATAATAGTGATTGTAAACCTACTTGAGGAATTGGCAGGATTTTGGTTGGGATACTCGGCAGTGATAATTGGAGGATTTTGTAGGATTTTGGTTACCTGTAGTTTTTGCAGTCCAGAAGTGAAGGATTTGGGAGGATTCTGGCTCCAAGCAGAAAATAAGGGCTGGGGGTTAGGGTTAATATTGTATGGGAGCTACTTGCTCCCGTAAAGTGACAGATTCAGCTGTCTCAGGAGCAACTACTTGCTCCCATGATGATTAGCCCAATTTCGAGCCCTGTCTTGTACTGTCATAAGCATATAATGAGTTATACAGACACTGTTTTCAGGGGTAATGGATGTATTAGTCCTGTGCTGCCCCACACTACCAGTCCTACTTCCCAGACTGCCCAAAGCCATTCCAGCATAGTGATTTTGGCTATGCACCAACTACAGCATCATGGTCCCAACTATTTTAGTACTGCACTGGCCAAACTACAGGACACAAGTTTATAAGAAAATGTCTCACCCTTCAACAGGTTTGTAACCGGTTTCAGCCACACTCCATACGTCTTTTTTTTTTCATTTATTCATGAAAATATATTTTCAAATATTAAGTTCTCCATGTTAAGGAGTAATTGCAAAATATCCTGCCACTCTAAAACACAACCCCTGGAATGACTGGTTACGTGGGTACAAGGTGAAAATCCCTTGGGAAGAGTGTGACACTTTGGCCTGTACCTGGCTACATGTATGAGGTTGATCACATGGGGTGGCAGAGTATTCTGCAATTGAGCGTTAAATGATTACAACAGCTGTCAGAAAGTGATACTATGTCCTAAAAAGTAAAATTTAGCAAGGAAAATTCCAAAGCACATACTTAGAAAACACTTAGGTTTTTTAAACAAGTCCTTGTGCATGGGGGCATCAGGTGTTATGTTTTGGATGAGCTTTTTCAAGAAGTATAAATGGTTCTAATAAACATGATAAATTTCTTCATAAATCAAATTTTGCAAAGGTGTCAGTTTTCCAAAATATTTCTACAATGAAAATCTCAAATAGGCCTAGCCTACTTAAAGCACTTTCAAAATCTCGTGAGAATAGTTCTAATGACACTGAACGACATCTTTGTCACTCTATCAAGCAACAGCGCGGTGTAGCTAGATCGAACCTTGGTCCCTGACCCATTGATTTCTCAGTACTATCTGAAAATGTGGACATGACAGAAAGCTCACAAACATGGGCATACCTTTAGCCTTATTAAACAGTGTTAACTTCACTGTTATTATTTTTTGTTAAGGCCTAGCCTAGGCCTTAAACCATGATGACAAAACAATTGGAACATTTTCACCACGTCAACAACTTGAACGTTCGAGAATGAACATAGAGCCTATTGTAATTCATTTGCACTGTTGCAGTGTATTTATTGATTTTATTTTAACTTTTCTGCGATTGTTTTTTTAAAAAAAAATTAGATGGCGAACAAAAACAAGTCTGCTCTGCGCTCTCACCATGCCCACTACTTTACGCACAAGATTTTGCAAAACGCTGAAATTTTGTTATTTTGCTTCTACGGTTAAACCCAACAAACTGCCACAATTCTCACCTTGAAGCTTCCTTTTATCGCCCATTTTGTTACTCCAGCCTCAGTGTGGTGGCTTGACCAGTAACATGGGATTCACAGAGCATTCAACTGAGCTTTCACACAATTTCTGAGGTGTCTTTTCCTCTGATTTTTTTACTTCAAGGTTCATTACAGTCAAAATGGCTGCCGACGGCTAACTCTTATTTTTGTATTACAAAAAGTAGTTCCTTAGTTTTTTATTTTCTTTTTGGTAGCATATTCATGCACTCTGATACAAAAGAATACCCAAAATAATTATTCTCGTATTGAAAAAAGACATGATTTGCACCAAATAAAGTCAACAAAAGTAAATGAAAGGAAATTATTTTTAAGCGCATAGATATCCAACTTAATGAATGAGTACATAAACCCAGTGTACAAAGTGTATGCTGAACGAAAAAAAGGTAATTCCCAGAGAGGTCATAGTACTTTTTGAGAGCTAGATCATAATGTCCCAAAGTGTAAACTGAAAGAAATCTTTGATGTTTAAATTTTTTCACTTTCTGATGAGTTGAATGACTATGTGGAATACTTAAGTTTGTTTTCATTTTTATATTGGAGCCTTAGCAAAGTAGAAAAAAAATGTGCTCGATTTTGCACACTTTTTCCTTAAGCGAGCGCACTGCATGATGGGACGTAATACCGTTGTTATTTTTCTTGGGCGCATGCCTTTGAACGAGTGCTCGAGAGCGGGGAAAAATCCAGTTTACATAGCTTTCATACTCATCAATGTCAACATCGACCATGTGAATGGTCCTCAGTTAGACATGGTTACGTTCCATTGCCTGCTTGGCTAAAAGATTTGAAATGTAAGAGAAGATTACTATCGAACGTTGTTACTAAAGAAGCTGTGCAGTTTCATGATGAGCCTAAGTAGACCTAGGCCTTGATAGCCTACAGTCCGTACCGTCTCTCCCGGACGGACTGAGGAACCGCATAATAATTCCAGGCGTATTGTATAAGCGTGCCTAGACATGCTAGAGCTGACTGCAAACATGGATTAACGTAATAAATGTAACGCTTTTGCACATTTGGCGTGAGTCATTATATTTATTAGTCTATTTGTTGGTTTTAAGGCTTTTGAACCTTCTTCTTCCTGCGTTTATGAAAGCATGGAGCTAAAAGTAAAAGCTTTCATAGCTCCATTATGTAAGAAAGAAGTAGGCCTAGGCTTAAAGAAATGTGTTTGAGTTGAGAATGAGAGGTCAACATTTTCATTTGGACATGTCATGCATTTTGGAATCAGACAGTACTATTGTCTAATTTGTGAATGCATTAATTATTACCATCTACAGTTAGCTTCTACATGTTCTAGCTACTTGTAGAACTGAGACGCAACCCGTGTGCACTCAAGTTGTGCCTTATGGTTTTCGTAGCATAGAGTAAGGTTCTAGTTTGCGTTTGAAGCCTAAGTGCCCTTGTTAGGTATTAGTACTAGTACTCATTTTTTTAAAACTTAAACGAAGGGAAAATGTAGTGAATGTATAATCTACCCTTCAAGGAAGCCTGTTAGTTTGGTTAATGTTGAATCAGGCGAATTTTGAAATTGAAGAGTCAAATAGGTTTTATTTTTAATTCCTTCTGAAAAATACATGTAGTGAGCGATGCCCAACAAGAGCAACGACATGGACCTGAGCCTTACCGGTTCACAGATTGCATCTATGAAAAGGCCCAGCTCAGCCGGCAACCGACCACCGTCTAGCAGTGGGAGCAGGCAGGGTGCCAGCAGTGGTCGTACCACCCCGAAGACATCCAACCACACTCGGAGCAACAGCAGCACCGTGGCCGGGGAGAGCAGTGCAGGGTCGAGGAGACCTAGCCCCGGCAGATATCGACCAGAGAGGACCAACTCTACTGGTGTAAGTCACTCCATGGTGCACACAGCCTCATAGGTCAGGCAGTCCCTTCTTGTAGGACCCAGCGAAATTATGCATGTCTTCGACTGCCAAAGCCGGTTATAATTTCAAATTTTCTAGTAAAATCCTACCCAAAATTAGTTCTCATAGTCCCTCAGTTGTGTGAAAGGAAGACCTCCTGAAGCTTCAGAGGTAATTTTAGAGTGGGATACACCTCGTTAGAAATTAAAATGTAGTGAAAATAAAAAGAGGATGTCATAAAAGTATGGATTGCAATACATTTGGCCAGCTATTCAGAGTAGAGCCACCGATATTAGTTAGTTACCATTAATTGACTGATGCATCCATTTTGGTATTTGATTATTTATTGTTGATAGTATTCATTTATTCAAAACCAATTTGGGGGCAATGAAAGCTTCCTTTTTTAAAGACATCATAAGAACAACCAAACACCTTTCATGCCAAAAATCTCAAACGTGAACCACTCACAAAACTTTTTCACAAGCAAAAATAGGATGAATACAGAGTGACAGGTGTGCGTACTTTTAAGCTACTTGACTTTGCATTTTCAGCATCGTGATGCATCTGAAAAATCAGCGCGTCAAAGAATACGTGCCACAGAAAACCATAGTGAGAATGGAATGATTATTAAATTGGTAGAAAAATAGTTGGAAACTTGTTCCAGCCTTTGTTTGAAGTCAACAAGTTGATGCATAAGCAGAGCTACATGTCATTTCAAAGCGATGTATATGTGACAGCACGATGACTGGTGTTTGTCATTCCTATCGAAATTTGGGGATTACAAGTTCATCTTCATATAACTGGTTCCTTGGCAGGGTATTTCAAATGGTCCTGCTGTGAATTCAACACCTTCAAATGAAAGGCACAAGAGAGGTGAGATTGGAAACAAAAGTGTGCGATTCAAATTTTTGGACTCACAGCCAAATGTTGAAACCAGTCTATACTTGTATGTGTACTAACATGACCACATTTTTGGTGTCCTATTTCAGCTCATTTTAGTCATTGAAAGGGAGAGACACTACAGCAAAAGCTGTGCAGTTGGGAATGTCCGTGTTGAATACTTAATTTTAATAAAATTTGAATGTTTAGATTTTAATGAAATTGAGGTGAAATGGAGAGGGGTCGGAATATTAAAAATGATATTTATTGATGAATCTTGTCCGCTGAATCTTGGACAAGAATGGCCTTCAAACTGAAAATGTCCTGCAATCGATGTGACAATACCACTTCATTATTGTCTAACTGTATACATTGTTTGTTGACATTCTGAAAAGGTAATTTAAACCACTTTTTATTTTATTGTGGCCTGACAGTCAAGCTTTTATATTTTGCACAGCATCGAGTCACAATGCGCAACTGAGTCACCGCAGCAATGCAAGCGAGAGTAGCAGTAGAGCGTCGGCACTCAGCCGAGATGCCCCAAGGTGAGACAGCGTAAAATTTCATACCAAGATTCATCTCACCCGAATTGTAAACCCTCACTCCTTGAACTGTGAACTTGATAGACTGCAACCTTTTTAAAAACATCCTTGTGGGAGTAGAACCAGAGGCCTCTAATACCCTCCAAGCATTTGTCCAGAGAACCTCCTGATTCCTCAAATTAAACACTGTCGCTAACTGGACCAAGCCTCAGTAAATTTATATC